CGTCCCTCTACAGGAGGAATATTCAAGAATAACCCAAAAATATGCTGGGGACTATTTTTTTAGCATTGTTGCTTGACCATTGTGGAATATGTTTTGAATCTCTTTCATTTTTCGTCGAAGATCTCCCTGTAGGGGGGCCGACTTAAGAGTAGCCGGAGGCCGAGGGGGGGGGACAGAAGACCAGGCAGACTGTTTGTTTTCATTTGTTGTCATATTTTCTGGGTTTTTGTCTTCCCCCCCACTTCCCATATCTTCCCATAATTTTTGGGGAATCGACGATTCATTGTGGCTGTGTGCTTCTTTTCCTCCTGAGAGTAGCCGGAGGGGGGGGGGACAAAAAACCAGGCAGGGGAGGGGGGCGCATGGCGCCGAAGCGGGCGCCGCCCGGCGGGCGAAGAAGCACGGCAGAGGCCAGAGGCCAGAGAGGTGCCGCAGGCAGGGCCGGGGCAGAACCTGCAAAAGGCCGGCGCCCCACAAGGCAGGGGGCGGCGGCGGGGCAGGGCACCCCAATTTGGACGCCCGAAATTGACTACCTACCAGACCACCCCAACCCAACCCGAAGACCCGATTTTCGGGTTGGGGGGGGTAAGGGCTCCACATGTGTTTTTTCGAGGTTTCCCGACCCCCCCCACTGGAAGTCGACTGTCAATTTGAGCCTTCGGGTTGGGTTGGGGTGGTCTGGTGGGTGGTGACAATTTGGACGCCCGACATGGGTACGGAAAAAATGGGTGCGATGCCCAACAGCGACTGTCGTCGCAAACCAGCAGCGGCCGCTGTTGGGCAGGCGGCCTTTTCTGTCTCGCATTGATACAGGCCGCGGCGGCGCGGACAGCGAGTCCTGGTCAGAATGCGCAAGAACTGCTGCTGGGCATTCTGCCCATCCTTTCCGTGCCCATTTCGGGCGTCCAGACGGCCCAAGGCGGGCAGGAGGGGCGGCCCGCAGGTCACGAGCGGGCGGCAAGCCCAGCCGGCAGTGACGGGGCCAACCTGGACAGGGCGGCCGCGGCGGGATCCGGCCGCACGCCGGCTCGGGCGCGGGCGGGCCCCGCGCCAGGGCGGGAGAAGAAGGCGAGCCTCGAGCGGCTGGAGGCCCGCGGGGGGGGGCACCGAGCAGGTGCACGACGGCAAGCAGCCACGAGGGCGGGGAGGAGAGGGCGGCGGGCAGGCCCCGATCACGAGCTGGGGGCCTGCAGGGGGGGGGCACCGAGGAGGTGCACGAGGTGAGAAAGCCACGAGGGCCGGGAGGGGAGGGCGGCGGCCAGGGAGGCCAATGCCAGGGCGGGGGTGTCACGCTCAGTACAGGACGAGGTCGTAGGGCGGCTGGCTGAAAGCTACCAACGGTGGCTGCTGGAGGCTGCCCCGCGCTGGCGGGAAGGGCCGCTGCTAGGCCAAGAGGAGTCCGCTGCCCGCGTCCCCTTCCCGTGCGGCGGAGCACCCTTCCCTTTGCCTTTCGCGAGGTCAGAGTTTTGCCTCCGCTTGTCAAGCTCGCGACACACGCGCGCACACACACGCACACTTGTTCCATGAGGGGTCAAAGTGAAGCGAGTGTCAATCCAACTAAGTCGAAACCAATAGCACATGTACCGAGCGAAAAAGGAAAAGGCATACGTAGCTGCAAGCATCGTGGCATCAGTAGACGAGAGCGCGCGAAAGCAGAGACAACGCGAGGGTAGGGTGGGAAAGACGGCGACACACAGCGCGCGCCCCCCCCCCACCACCACACACACACACACACACGCGCACGCGCGCACTCTTTTTTCTCTGCGAGCGCTCGCTCCGCGACGTGATGGTCGCAGTGCAAAGGAGGTGCGGATCCGAGAGAAAGAAAGAGAGACAGAGAGAGGGAGAGCGACGGTGCGCATCTGAGACAGAGAGAGAGAGAGAGCGAGACATCTATATCTCTCTCGCTATATGTATATACATATATATATATGTGTGCATGGAAGTATGTTTGTTTGTGTATGTATGTATATATATATATATACACGATCTCTACCTTGATTCTTACCGTACCCATCCGCTCAGAGAGACCAGCGAAGAAAATCTACTTCCTGGACACTTACCGAGTGTCACCGGAAAACGGCGACGTGACTCGCCTCACACAAACCCACCCCGACAAGCAACTGCGACAAACAATACAAATCTTCAGAAAAAACAGCGACGACGACACGCCCAAACACATGCCAGACAACATAAAGAAAAAAACAAAAAAAACAAAAAAAAAAAAAAAAACAAAAAAAAAAAAAACGTATGGCATGTGGTGGCGTACTGTTTCATGTGCGCAAGAAGACGGCAATACAAATCGCATGCCTCGAGACACTGAAAGAAAACAGGCGCGCCACCTCTTCGATCTCGCCGTGCGTGAGTTGATTCCGCGCTTGCGATATTCGCGTTTGTGTGACTACCGTTGCGAATCAGCGGTTGCGAATTTGAATCCATGGTGGAGAACGTTTACCTTCGTTTGTCCGTCCCCTTGGAGGGCGGGCTGCGCAATGCGTCTCTCAAGGGGGAGCCTCCTCAAGGCCATGGACGAGCACGCCGCGCAACGCGACTCTCCTCAGAGAGATATCTTGCAATTTCCTGGAAGGGCGTGCCGCGCGGCGCGTCTCTGAAGGGCGACCTTTTTTCGGTCTCCTCGAAGGGCGCGCCGCGCGGCACGCCTCCCTCGAAAAAAGGCCTTCGGCGAGACTCCCCGAGTCTCCCTGCGGGGGCCGCGCGCCGTGTGAGGGGCGTGCCCAAAACATGGATTCGGGACGCACGTGCACCTTGCTCTCGAGGCTTTCGGTGGCGCTCCCTGTGGGGCCACGAACGCTGTGATTTGTGAAGTCCGCTGCCTCCTACAGCCTATGCATCTCAAACTCTCTGTGGGAGTGGCCATCGGGGTTGCGAAGAAGTCAAGCGGGCCCATCGCGCACGGGGCCCCAAAAAAGTTGGCCAAAACACGCACGCGTGCTGGGCAGTTTGTGAAAACGTGTCTGCCAGGATTTCATATCCTGCGTTTGCTTCCCAAGTGAACTTGGGATGCACACGCAGGACATCACAGTCTGTGATGTCTGTGTGTGCGTCCAAATTTGTCAAGGGACGCCATGTGAACCCTGACACTGGGGCCTTCGGTGGCGCCCCCCATGAGGCCACGCGCCCCAAGGAGGCCCGCGAGCAAGCCGCGGTCCGCATCACCCGCCCTGAAGAACGCCGACGGACCCCGGAAAAAAAACGGCGACGAAAAATCCGGAGAAGACTCAGTGCACTCTCCGAGATAACGGGAAGCGGCGACGCCGGACCTCGGGGGGTTACCCCCATTGGAGTCTCCGTTGACGGGGGTAACTTCACACGCGTTTACACGCACGCACACGCACACACATACAAACACACACACACACACACACACACGCACACACACACACACACGCACACACACACACACACACACACACACGCACACACACACACACACACGCACACACGCACACACACAAACACGCACACACACACACACACACATACACACACTTTGGAGTCGCGGCCGCGCGCGCGGCGGCGCGGCGGAGGTCCAGTCAGGCGGGAGCGCGCGCGCCGGGCCAGCCCATGCGGCGTGGAGAAGCTGGGCCCGCCACCGACATGGGGATCGACAGCAGCACCCGCTGGGGGGGCAGCCACGAGGGGACAGGGGGGGGGAGGGGCAAAAGGGAAACGAGGGGGGAAACAGTAAAAGGGAGGGGGGCAAAGAGGGGGGCAGAGAGGGGGGCAAAGAGGGGAGGGGGCAAAAGGACAAGGGCAAAAGGGCAAAAGGGCAAAAGGGCAAAGGACGAGGAGACGCAATGCGGCAGTAACGGACCGAGTCATCAAGCGAAGCGCAGCAGGAGGGCGGCAACGACAGCCGAACAATGTCAAGAGACCAAGCAGCATGACGAAGCCCGGGTTGGCCACTGGCCAACCCGGCTGTTCGTCACGGAGGGAGGCCAGCGGGGGCCTCCCCGAGGGAGGCCCTCTGGCAGGAACCGGCACGAGAGACGGGGAGCACCAGACCGAGCAGAGGGAAAGCGGCAGCGGCGCTTGGGCCGAACAAAAAGTGACATAAACAGAAAAACTCGGAGGTCCGCGCGGACTTCTTGGATCGGCGCCGGAGGCGCCGCCGGGGAGCCCCAGCGCCGATCCGAGAAATCTGCGCGGACCTCCGAGTTGTTATGTTTATGTCACTTTTTGTTTCCCTATGCACACACACGTTTTCGGCGTCGCGGCCACGCGCGCGGCGGCGTGGCGTAGAACAGAGCAGGCGAACACACACACACACACACACACACACACACACCGCGAGCCTGCGCGGCGCCCCGCCGGCCGCGCCCGCCCGCGAGCCCTCGCCCTCTCTCCGCCCATCGGGCGCGCGCCTCCGCGCCACCGGCGCTGCGGCGCCCGGCCTACTGCGGCAGCGCGGCCGCCGCTCACTCGCACGCGGGCGGCGGCCGCGGCGGCGGCGCCTCTGGCCGCAGCCTCCCCGCGTGCCAGCCCTGCGCGGGAGCCGGGCAAGGGCTGCTCGATCCGTGGCTGCTCGAATCGACCTCCGCGGGAAATTATGTCGATTCGTCCTTCCGGGAAGCAGCCCGGTTTGACTGCTTCGCGGGCCGCGCCTCCTTCCGGGAAGTTGTTGCTTTTTCCTTCCGGGAGGGCCGTTTTAGCAGCCACGGTTCTAGCATTAAGTCGGGCATGTCCCCCTACAGGGAGATTTACGACGAAAAATAAAAAATGCCCAAGAAATGCCCCAAAAAGAAAGAGCAACAATTCAAAAAATAGTCCCCAGACTATTTTTGGAGTATGTTTTGATTATTTTTGAAGGTATTTTTTATTTTTCGTCGAAAATCCCCCTGTAGGGGGACAGGCCCGACTTGAGCCCAGCTTTCGACCTGCGGCGGCCACGCCCTCAGCACGGCCGCCGCGAGGCCGAGGACGGCCGCGCCCGCCGCGGCCGCGGCGCGGCGGCGGCGGCGGCCGGCGCGGCGGCCGGCGGCGCCGCCCGCCCGGGGGCGCGGCAGACTCGCCCAGGAGCTCGGGCGCCCTCGCGCTGGGCGTCGGCGTGCCCTTGCACCCGTCCTGGGGGGGCGCTCCTCCTCCTCCTCCTCCTCCTCCCTCCTCCTCCTCCTCCCTCCTCCCTCCTCCTCCCCCCTCCTCTCCTCCTCCTCCTCCTCCTCCCCCTCCTCCTCCCCAGGAGGAGCCCAGAATGGCCCCTGGCTAGCCCAAGAGGTCCCCAAGACGGCCCACGAGGGAGCCAGGACGACGGCCCCAAGCAGGGGCCCAGAGAGGATGGCCTACGAACATTTCAAGCCCTCCCCTGACTCCGGGTCCGCCCTACTTTGGCTTTTTTTCCAACTTCAAATTGCGTCGGAAATCCACCTAGAAGAGGCCGAAAAAATAGGGCGGAAATTGCTGCACCCAGCATAAAATAAGGCGGAAACCCACAGAAACAGCAACAGAAAAGTAGGGCGGAAATTGGCATCAGCGGGGCTTGAAAAGTAAGGCGGAAATCCCAAGCCCCAGTTACGAATTTCCCCATGGGGCGGATCTGGAGTCAGGGCTGGGGGGGGCGGGCGGGGGAACCGGGGTCCCGAGTTGGGAATCCTTGGGGCCCAGACCCCCTCGAGGTAGGAAAACATCGCGACGGCAGGTTTTTCACTGTTTTTGGCCTTCGGGGGCCCTTCCCGGCCCTCGGGAGCGTCAACAAACGACTCGGGACGAAAAACCGGTCCCGGGGAATGGGTCGAGACCTCGGGGAGTCGACGTCATGAAAAGATCATGACGTCGGGGGTCTGGGCTGGGGGGGCGGGTGGGGGAACTGGGGTCCCGAGTTGGGAATCCTTGGGATAGCAGAAGAAGAACCATGCACATGCACCGAGTTTGGCCAGGTCCATCCTGAGCCCAGGAGCGGTGCATACGCCCTCCTGCCTTGGCCAGGGAGGCATGTACACCGATCCTGGAGGCAAGGATGGGCATATGCACCGATCCTGGGGGGGCGGGCGGGGGGACCGGGGTCCTGAGTTGGGAATCAAGGGCTCCCAACGTCGCGCTTCACGCTGCGCGGAGCGCGAAATGCGAATGACTTCGCGCTCTCGCGCCGCCTCCCAGGGGAGAAGAGGAGGATGAGAAGCAATCCGAGCCGAAGCGCGAAGCGCGAAGCGCGAAGCGCGAGCCGTCCTCGGCCTCGCGGCGGCCGTGCTGAAGGCGTGGCCGCCGCAGGTCGAAAGCTGGGCGAGGGCTGCTGAAACCGTGGCTGCTAAAACGGCCCTCCCGGAAGGAAAAAGCAGCTTCCCGGAAGGAGGCGCGGCACGCGAAACAGTCAACGGGCTTCTTCCCGGAAGGACGAAGACAACTTCCCGGAGGTCGGTTTTAGCAGCCACGGATTGAGCAGCCCTTGCCCGGCTTCCTGACTACCTACCAGACCACCCCAACCCAACCCGAAGACCCGAATTTCGGGTTGGGGGGGGGTATGGGCTCCATATGTGTTTTTTCGATGTTCCTGGACCGTCGCTGGACCCCCCCCCACTAGAAATCGAGGGTAAATCTGAGCCTTCGGGTTGGGTTGGGGTGGTTTGGTGGGTGGTGACTTCCGTCCTGGAGAGCCGAGTGGGCAGGAGGTTGGGCCGCTGAGACCGTCGAGAACCTCAGAGGCGCCCTCTCTGGCCAGAGGGAAGCAGGATGTCTCAGCAAGGGCGGCGGCCGGCTGCTCTGCCATGCTGGGCGGCGGCAGGCCGGACTCTGGATCCAACGCTCGGCTCCCGTGTGGCCGTGTAGTCTGCCCTGACTCCGGATCCGCCCTACTTTGGGGAAATTCGTAACTGGGGCTTGGAATTTCCGCCTTACTTTTCAAGCCCCGCTGATGCCAATTTCCGCCCTACTTTTCTGTTGCTGTTTCTGTGGATGTCCGCCCTATTTTATGTTGGGTGCAGCAATTTCCGCCCTACTTTTTCGGCCTCTTATAGGTGGATTTCCGATGCAATTTTAAGTTGGAAAAAAGCCAAAGTAGGGCGGATCCGGAGTCAGGGTGGGCTTCCACACGTGTGTATCCAGCGCGTGGCCTCTGCACCTCCCGCACCCCTGTCTCCGGGTCCGTACTCCGGTTGCTTCTCCAACTTAGGACGGCAGTGGGAATGCACTCCAGACGATGCGACAAAGATGACGCAAACTCTCGCCTCGTGCACGTAGGGCGGGTACTTCCGCAAAGGTATGGCGGAAACAGCGACAGCAAGACAGGGCGGAAACGGGCACCAAAGGAGCTTGAAAAAGGGGGCGGACATTTCCGCCCTACTTGCGAAATCGCCCCAGGTAGGGTCGATCTGGAGCCAAGAGAAACCCTCCGCCCTGGGGCCTTGGCTGCTGGGGCCTCCTGGGACCTCGGTGAGCCGCTCTGGAGGCCAAGCTCGGGCCATCCTAGGCCAGCCGTGGAGGAACCGGGAAGCGGCGTGAACGCAGGTTCTCGGAGGTCTGCGCGGAAGCCTTGGGTCGGCCCTGGACCGCCCTGGCGGCCAGCGCGGGCCAGGGCGAGGGAGCGTCCAGCGCCCACCCCTTCTGGTTCTGCTGACATCGTGGAGTCAGCCTTAGGTCGGGCCCGTCCCCCTACAGGGGGATGTTCGACGACAAGTAAGAAATACCCCAAAAATAACCTAACAATTGTCCAAAAATAGTCCGGGGACCATTTGTTTTAGTATTTGTGTTACCCTTCTGGGGCATTCTTGGGGCATTTTTCATTGTTCGTCGAAAATCCCTCCGATAGGGGGACACGCCCGACAAATAAGAAACACCTCCAAAATGCTCAAAAAATGATCCAAACATAGTCTGGGAACTTATCTTAGTTTTTGTTTGACCTTTCTGGGGCATTTTTGGGGGTATTGTTTACCTCTCGTCGAACATCCCCCCTGCAGGGGGGACACGCCCGACCGAAAGTCGGCCTTGGGACGCTCCCGCGGCCCGCGGCCTCCCTCGGCCAGGGCCGAGCGAGAGGCCCTGGCCGGGCCAGCCCCGGGCGCGAGCCCGCCCAGCGCGAGAGCAGCCGGCATCGAATCGCGAGCCGGGATCGCCAAATCGCCCCGGCTCCAGATAGGGGGCCAGCATCGAATCGAGAGCCAGGATCGCCAAATCGCCCTGACTCCAGATAGGGGGCCAGCATCGAATCGAGAGCCAGGATCGCCAAATCGCCCTGGCTCCAGATAGGGGGCCACGTGCGAGCCCTACCCCCTGCCCCCCACGATTTCTGAGGGGGAGGGGGAGTGAACCCCGCCCTCCCCCACGGAAATCGTGGGGGGTAGGGGTAGGGTTCGCACGTGGCCCCCCTACCAGGCCAACCCTGGGCGCGAGCCCGCCCAGCGCAAGATCAGCCAGCATCGAATCGAGAGCCAGGATCGCCAAATCGCCCTGACTCCAGATCCGCCGTGCTCTGGGCGCTTTCGCAGGAAAATCGGGGCGGACACCTCCGCGTCACTCTTCGGGCTCCTCGGATGTCGACCTCCGCCCTACTTTGCCGTCGCTGTACCGCCGTAATGTGGGATGACGATTAATACAAAAAATGGGAGAGAACGATTAAACAAATAGTTCCCTGCTATTTCTTCATAATTTTCCGACTGGAGGAAAACGATTAAAAAGAATAGTTGTCCAGCCAGCGGCCAGTTTTTTCTAATCGTCATCCTGGGCGCCGCCGCGTGAACACGACCCCCGGTCATTTATTAATCGTCATCCTCCATTACCTTTGCGGGAAGACCCGCCCCACTCTTCTAAGGCGACAATATCCACGCTGCTTTCGCGCATCGCTCGGGGTGCACCTTCGACACACACACACACACACACACACACACACCGCTCGAGCCGGCAAACTCAGCCAAAGTAATTACCGCGGGGTCTCAGGGCCCAGGATCGGGGTCGAACCGGAAAACCGGGAGGAGGAGGAGGAGGAGGAGGAGGTGGAGGAGGAGGAGGAGGAGGAGGTGGAGGAGGAGGAGGAGGAGGAGGACCAAGTCGGGCCGGGACTGTGCGCCAGATCGGCCCGCGCCGGCATGCGGCGCAGGCCGATCGACGCGGACCCGCCGCGCGCCAGGACCCACGGCGGCGCCGTGCGGGCATCGGGCCGCACCGGGTCATTGAAGGGGCCCCAGGACACACAAATCAATACACACAAATAAAAGGATACTCTATAGTTTCCCATATTTGGGGGGTTTTTGTCTTCCCCCCCACTTCCCATATTTTTGCATATTTTCCTGGGAGTCGACGATTAATTGTGTCTGTGTGTTTCTTTTCCTCCTGACTGTGGGGCCATCGAAGTCGACTGGGGTCGAGCTGGCCAGAACCGAGGTCCAGTCGATGTCGAAGCGAGCCCAGGACCAGGCCGCCCCGGGGATCGGCCCAGGCCCTTTTTGTTCCGTGTGTTCATTTTTTGTTGAGGGTGGGGGGGGGTCGGCCCGAGCCTGGACGGCCGACGCCCTCGCTATACTGCAGCCCCCGGGGTCCTCGGCCTCCAGGAAGGGGACGGTGCTCGTGGGCGGCTCGCCGCCGGGGAACATCTCGAAGAAGAGGCGGCCGGGCTTGAGGCTCTCCTGCTGCGACTCCGCGGTGTACATCTGCCACGCGAACCTGTGCGCCTTCGTCGTCACCCCCGCGCCGAAGCGGTCCGCGAAGCCCGCCGGGAGCTTCGCGGCGATGCCGCTGCGGAACTGCCTGTAGGCCGCGTCCGCGTCGCGAACGGGCATGCCCTGGCGGATGGCCTCGGCAAACTTCCTGTTCTCCTCCACCTCTTCGGGGCAACGAAGCCGTGCGGTGACGGACCGTGAGGTGACCTCGGAATCCCCACCGACCTCACCGCGCGGTCCGTCACCGCACGGCTGTGGGACTTTGGGGGCACCAGTCGCCCGAGACTTGCTCGGAGAACGACCCGAGCCCCAAGACCGAGCGGTGACCACGAATCCCCGCTGACTCACCACATGCTGTGGCCACCGCACCTTTTGGGGCCACCCGAACC